CCTGTTTTGCCTGTTCCGGGCTTTTCGCAACCCCGTCCCAGCTCTGCCGGCGTCCCTTCAACTGGAAAAATTGCCGGGAAGACGATTCTCAGCGCAGAGAATCATCCCCAAAATCGCCGGGCTCCGAGCCTGTCTTGCCTGTTCCGGGCTTTTCGCAACCCCATCCCAGCTCTCCTGCCGGCGTCCCGTCAACTGGAAAAATTGCCAGGAAGACGATTCTCAGCGCTGCGAATCGTCTCCAAAATCGCCGGGCTCCGGGCCTGCTTTGCCTGTTCCGGGCTTTTCGCAACCCCGTCCCAGCTCTGCCGGCGTCCCTTCAACTGGAAAAATTGCCGGGAAGACGATTCTCACCGCTGCGAATCGTCTCCAAAGTCGCCGGGTCCCGAGCCTGTTTTGCCTGTTCCGGGCTTTTCGCAACCCCGTCCCAGCGCTGCCGGCGTCCCTTCAACTGGAAAAACTGCCGGGACGACGATTCTCAGCGCTGAGAATCGTCTCCAAAATCGCCAGGCTCCGAGCCTATTTCGCCTGTTCCGGGCTTTTCGCGACCCCGTCCCAGCTCTGCCGGCGTCCCTTCAACTGGAAAAATTGCCGGGAAGAAAATTCTCAGCGCTGCGAATCGTCTCCAAAATCGCCGGGCTCCGAGCCTTCTTGGCCGCTTCCGGGCTTTTCGCAACCCCGTCCCAGCTCTGCCGCCGTCCCTTCAGTTGGGGAAATTGCTCGGCAGACGCTGCGAACCGTCTCCGGAACCGTCAGAATTAGGCCGCCGGCCGCAGCTTGCCGGCGTTCCCGACCCCCTGCCCCGCTTCTCTGTTTTTGCCCCTTCCTGCGTGTTTTGACTTTCGAAGACCGCAACCCGCGCGAAGGCTTTATCCAGTAGCGCGAGCTGGCAGGCGATTCTACTTACAGTTGTGGGCTTCGCTCGGGTCAAGCTACGCCTGGCCTGGAGTTTTCAGCGCACGGACGCAAAAAACGAGCACAAAAGCTGAGCGCTTTTCTGCTCGCTTTCAACAAAAAGGGGCCTGCGCGTGCTGATCAAGCATAACCACGGGACCTAGTTCATCCATCGAAGAAAATATAAGTAAGTACGCATGACCAAAACCTCCCTCTCAGTATCTATACAAGGGCACGCGCCGTCTTTCCGATCGGATAGGTCACCTGCGTTGGCCAAATCGTCGGAAACCAGCGGTAGGACAAAAGATCCCGCGTTCATTGCGCTTGCCGGTGTGGCGTTTCTCGCGTTCCGCGGGCGGTCCATGCCGAAAGCCGGAGAGGAAGCGTCCTCGAGGCTCGGAAACAGCAGTTGTGGGGTTCGCTGCATATAATAATTACCCGGATGTTGCTGCTGGTGTTGGAAGGTGACAAACTGACCAGTTGGGCCGCCCCCGCCCAGTGAAGCAGAACCAGCAGGTACCGCAACGCTCTCCAACATCAGCTGGTGGTTGTTCAGAAGCGTCCCTCCGCCCGCACCGAAGCCATTTGCTGGTGCAACGCCGAACCCACTTCCGAATTGCAACAGCATTTCCCCGTCGAACCTTACGTTGGAGCAAGTGGATAAGCAGTTCTCGTAGTGCCGGCTTGCCAGCAGACACCGCACCACGCCCGACCACAGCGACGGCATCTTGTGCTTCGGCTCCGTCGCGAGTCTTCGGAGATACAAGTGGAGCGCGTCCTGCCACTTTTCCTGCAGTTCTGTCCTCAAAACCGCGATCACCGGGCCGGAAACCTTGCACAGCTTCAAAGCACCAAGAGCGTTGTCTTGATTTTGCAAAATGCGGTGCAGCCGCTGCAAGTTAAACGCCGCGGCTTCATCCAAATCCGGCTTCCCGAGAAGAAATTTCGACCAGCGGGTCAATATGGCGTGCCCACATGTTAGTCGTGTTACAACCTCAACTGTTACAATAGAATCTGGATTTTGTCCTGCATGAGTCGTGCCCTGATGGGTAACATAGTTAGAGAGTCTTGCGCTTCTTGGAATACAAATTTTGTCGGGTTTCAGTGCGGTTTGTGGCTCCGGAACTTGTCACGCGTAATCCTGTGAGAGTACTAGGCGAGATAAAGTTAAAAGCGCTCTTCTTATGCATCACAGATTTCCATATTCTATTGATTGCAACCTTTGAGATTGTAAACAACATTTGAGCAGGTCATAGTCAAGAGCACCAGCTTCTTCCCGCCAGTGGGGCATACCCAATTCGTCCTGTCATCGAGGCGCTTCTTGTCGATCGCGTTCAATGATTTGACGTCGTTGTCCTTCGTCAGCGCAGACACGTCGTAGTGCCTCGTGTCGGCGAATTTTTTCAGGTACTTTTCCTCCTTATCGTCCAGCGCCGGTTTGTCTGCGGCTCCCGCGGCGTTGTCGTAAAAATCGTCCGGCGAACTCGCGCCGGTATCAAATGCAAATTTGTCTGGGTCTGGAAGAATGCAACTTGTGATGCTTGGTTTGGATTCCAAAAAACTCTGGATTGCATGAGCAACAAAGGCAATGTAATTGTTGCTACGCGGAGAGGTGGGCATTTGTCATGCGGAGTAGGCATCAAGAAGCCCTCAAAAAATCTGTAATGCTAGGGCAGGCATCACAGACATCATGGCTCATGCAAAACGCGCATGACACGTCTCAGAATCCTCCAGACCCAGACATATTTGCAATGCATAGCCGCCCTGATTCGGCAAAATCTTCGCCGCCGCTGCGGAAGCTTTTGACCATAACTTTTGCCGTTCCTTCTTATCGCAAGAAAAAACTGTTTCACTGTGAACTTGTGATGCAGAAAATGGATCGCAGACGTGTGTGTCATGCTACACATGCACGCCAATGGATTTCTAGCTGTGTTTTCCCTTAGGAACCCCGCATGACAGATTTTCAGTGTCATGCGTAACAAACTTGTGATGCAGATTTTGCAAAATCACCACAGTGAAACAGTTTTTTCGTGGGATACTTCTTGGCGGACCGGCTTTGCGTGTAGTTGTCCTGGCTGTAGGCCTATGGATTGCAAAAATGTCTGGGTCTGGAAGGTTGGAACTTCTTGGTTGGTTGGTTGGATAGCGCCTGTCGCCGGTGCAGGTCCCGCCCTCCATCGATTGCGATCCGGAGTAGCCGGAACACAAGGCCCTAGTGGCACAATCGATCGACGAAGCCCTTCTTGTGATGCTAAGTTTGGACTCTAAAAAATTCTGTATTGCATGACCAGCAAAAGGAGTCCGGTTTGTGCTACGCGTGGAGGGCATTTGTCATGCGGAATAGGTATCAGGAAGGCCTCTAAAGATCTGTGATGCTAGGGCTTCCATGACAGACATTCTGTGTCATGCAAAAACACCATAACAAATTTCGGATTCTTGCAGACCCAGACATTTTTACATTTGATAAGGCCCCGCCTTGCGAAGCCGCGACCAGATCGTCGTTTTCCGGGAGCATGCGCTCGAAGACGCCCTGTGAGAGTGCACTACTCCCCCTCCCCTTCATTTGTGATGTTGCTCAAACAGCAATACAAGCGTCGGCAAGAATGCAGGTTTTGCATGACAAAGTCACCCGGGATTGTACTGCTGCTTGAGCTTCCGGAACTTGTCATGCGAAGAGTGCCAAGAGGCAAAGGATAGATTTTGTATTTTGCATGACAAATGAGGGGGAGATGGAGAGGTGCACTCTCATACGCCCTGCTCCAGGTACAGGAGAGCCCGCGCGTGGGCCCCGATCCGTTCGGCTGCCTGGACTAAGCTGCCGCGGTTCAAGGATTGCAGGATAGTGTTCAGGCGCTTCAAAAGTTTCAGGTTGTTGTTCATGGCGTCGCAGATGATGCGCGGGTTGAGATATCGAGGGGGGAAACTGTGGTCCCCACAACCTTGTTAACTCGCAAAGAGAAAACTTGGGATGCAAGGGGACGAAGGCGTCGAAACAATCTAAAAAGTGATCGACTTCCTGAAGCGCAAACAGGATGAGTAACTATTTTTCCAGATCGGTTTTTTCTTGCCGATCTGGAAAATTCAAAAAGTTGCCCACTTCCTGAAGCGCAAACAGGATGAGTAACTCTTTTTCCAGAGCGGTTTTTTCTTGCCGATCTGGAAAATTCAAAAAGTTGCCTACTTCCTGAAGCGCAAACAGGATGAGTAACTATTTTTCCAGATCGGTTTTTTCTCGCCGATCTGGAAAATTCAAAAAGTTGCCCACTTCCTGAAGCGCAAACAGGATGAGTAACT